CTCGTTCACCGCAATATTTGTATGTTGATGAGGTATGCTTTTGAATGCTTAATATCCAAAACCACATCAAATAAAAGATTATTAACTAACTTTTCTAAAATAGTCCAAAGAAAATTAATAACACTAGAAGTAATTAAATTCAGGAAACAAAATGAACACAAATTAAAGAGACTAGAGATTGAAATAATACCTGATTTCCACCAATCTTCATATAATTTTGCTGGTAGAATGCAAATCAAATGATTCAACATAAATGTCATACTCTTAAAAAATCATAATATCTTACTATATCATACAGGAACAAGGATCGTGACCACACCTCTTTACATAGAAGATATTGATTAGCCGATAGATATTTAACTTGGCTAAGCAATCCAACCAACTCGTTCACCGCAATATTTGTATGTTGATGAGATATGCTTTTGAATGCTTAACAGCCACAACCACATCAAGTAGATGAATGAGGGAGGAGAAAGAGAATGATAAGGAAAAAGAGAATGGAAAGGAGATGGAAGGACGGGGAGAAAGAGAAGCAGGGGAAGAGTAGTCACTCGAAAAATTAAAACTTATGGCGGCTCTGAGGAGCATTAGTGAATTACGAGAAACAGAAACTAAAACAAAATCAGAGAAGGAAAAGTGGAAAAAAGAGAAGGAAGGAGAGGGAGAAGGAGACGCAGTAGAGAAGTCACTCGAAAGATCGAAATTTATGGTCAATTTCATTTTGCCCCCAATATGATTAATTTTCCCACGTTGTACACTCAAAGAAACAAAAACGTTGCAATGTGATCCATCGTTTTATTTTTGTGGTTTGGCCATCTGTTTTGTACCAAATCAACTAATCAAAAATCACAAAACAAACAGACAACCAAATGGAAAAAAAAGAAAAGAAATGAGATGGTGGATCACATTGCAATATTTTAATTTTTTTAAGGGGACAACGTGGAAAAATCATTTGGGAGGTAAACTGAGATTTTTTGTATCTTTTAGGGCAGTTTTGAGAAACATAAACTAAAACAAAATCGGAGAAGGAAAAGGGGAACAAGGAGAAAGAACAGAAGGAAGGAGAGGAAGAAGAAGAATATAGAAGAGAAGGATGAAGGAGAAGAGGAGGAGCAGAAGAAGAACACTAACACTAAATCAATATCACAAAGTACTCTATTGCAATGGACATAAATTTGTTGAAAGTAAAAAGGAGAATGTTAAGAATAGGAAGAAAAACGAGTAAAAGAAAAAGAAAAAGAAAAAGAAGAAGGTGCAGGTGAATGAGAGGAATGATGAGAAAGAGTAGAATAAAAAAGAGGAAAGAGAGAGGAGGATAAAAGAGAAAGAGAATGATGATGATGAGGAGGAGGGCAACGAGAAAGAAAATGAGGAGGAAAAGGGGGAGGAGAAAGAAGAGAAGAATGAAGGAGGATGAGAAGAAAAAGAGGATAAAAAAAAAGAAGTAAAAGGAATAGGAAGAGATGCAGAAAAAAGAGAAATAGAAGAGGAAAAAGGAGCATGGGAGAAGAAAGAGAAGGAAAGGGAGGAAAATTGGGAGGAAGAGGGAGCGAGTGGAAAAAGTAAGGAGGAGGAGGAAAATGAAGAAAAAGTAAAAAAAAAATAGAATTAAGTCAATATTTCAAAATACTCTTTTACGATGGGTATACATTGGTGGACAGGAAGAAAAAGGAGAATGATAGGAATAAGAAGAAAATGAAGGAGAGGAATAATAAGAGAGTTTAAGAAAAAGGAGTAGGAGGAGGAAGAAGAAGGAGAAAGGAAAGAGGAGGGTGAGGAGAAAATGAGAGAGGAAGAAGGATGGAGGAGAAAGAGAATGGAAACATGGAGGAGGACAATGAGAAATAGGAAAAGGGGGAGGAGAAAAATGAAAGAGGAGGGGGAGAAGGAAAATGAGGATGAGAAGAAACATACTGAAGGAGAGGGAGGAGGAAATAACCCAAATAATAAGAAAGAGTAGAAGAAAAAAAAGGATGAGGAAGAGGAAGAAGGAGGAGGATGGAACGAAAATGAGGAGGAAATAGAAGACAATGAAGGAGCTTGAGAGAGGAAAAAGAAGGAAAATGAGGAAAATTGGGAGGAAGAAGAAGTGGGGAGAAAGAGGAGGATAAGAAGAATAAAGAAGATAATGAGAGGAAGAATGAGGGAGGAGAACGAGAATGATAAATAGGAAGATAAGGATAAGAAGGAGGAAGAGAATGAAAAAGGGAAGAATGAGGAGAAAAAGGAGAAGGAGAAAGACAAGAGTAGTCACCCGAAAGATTAAAATTTATAGCGACTCTGAGGAATATTGGTGAACTTCAAGAAACTAAAACTAAAACAGAACCAGAAAAGGAAAATGGGAAAAAGGAGTAGAAAGAAGGAAAGGGAGAAGGAAGAAGAGGAGGAAAAGTTGAAGAAGATGGAGAAGAAACAGAGAAGAGAAGTAACTCGAAAGATCGAAATTTAGGGTCAACAAAAATGCTCAATTTGCCCCTAGAATGATTAATTTTTCTACATTGCTCTTTCAAATAAATAAAAACGTTGCAATGCGGTCTATCGTCTTATTTTCGTACGGTCATCCATCTATTTTGTACTAATAGATGAACGACCCAATGGGAAAAAAAAATGAGACAGTTGATCACATTGCAACATTTTTATTTTTTTAAGGGGCAATTTGAAAAATTAATCATTTTGATGGCAAACTAGGAATTTTTGTATCTCTTATGGGGGAAAATGGAATTTTTCCCAAAATTTTATGACGGCTTTGATGAATATTAGGGAATTTTGAAGAATAGAAACTAAAACAAAACCGGGGAAGGAAAAGGAGAAGAAGGAGGAGAAGGAGAAAGAACAGAAGAATAAGGAAAAGAAGAATAAACGAGGAGGAATAGATGAAGGAGAATAAACAAAGTTAATATTACACAGTACTCTTTTGCAATGGGCACACATTGATGGAAATGATGAAGAAGAAGACCGATAAAAATTGGAAGAAATAGGAGTAAAAGAAATGGACTAATAAGAAAGAGTAGAAAAAAATGAGGAAGGAGGAGGGAGGAGAAGGGAAAGAAAAGGAGGGGAAGAAGGATAGAGGAGAAAGACAATGATGATGACGATGATGAGGAGGAGGAGAAAAAGAAACCCTCCAAATTGTAGTTTTAGCCCGAAGCAAGGTGAAAAAGAAACGTGTACTAGACATAAGACATAAGTTTAACTGAGAATACACTTTAAAAGCAATTAAATACCGTCAATAGCAACTGATGCTTGGGCCTTGTATAAGGGAACATCACTCACCAACTCTGCAGCATTGTTTCGAATGACTGTGCGTAAAAAACACCGGCATCCAACACTGGTGACACTAATAGGAGTCCCATATTGGCTTCACTGGTTCTGTCTTGACTCTTGAGAAGTGGCAGGGTTACAAGGGAACTGGACTGACCAAGCTTCTCCAGGAGTTTCATGATTAGGTTGCCTACTGCAAAGGAAACAGCTGAGACTCCAAACCCTATCATAACATAGCATACTACTGTTGTTATATAAGACTTGGGAGGCCTCTGAACAGAAGCATTTTCAATGCTAAGTAGGCTGCCACATAGAAGTGAAGCCGCTGCTACTGCCACAAGCTTGAGATCTCTATATCATCACTCCTCCGAAATGAGAAGCCATAGATGACTGGAGGAAGTAGGCCAACAACGAGGAATGATTACACGGTAGCAGCTGCATAAAATAAGAAATTTTGTCTTCGTCCCAGTAGTTCCTGGTGTCATTCAACTNAAGGTTGCTGCAGCACCAGTTGAGAAAATTGGATTTGTTAAGTGTGAAAAGGCATTCCAACTTTTGCCCACCAAACCGTCTGAAATTGTTGNTACACGGTAGCAGCTGCATAAAATAAGAAATTTTGTCTTCGTCCCAGTAGTTCCTGGTACCATTCAACTCGCTTTGTTTGTTGATTGGAGGCCCCTCCAGATTGATATTTTTTCAGTTCCCAAAGCTGTAAGCTAACATGTTAGTTTAAGATGCAAATAACTTTGAGTAAATGCAAAAGAAACATGTTCTATAATGCATATTCCACATCCTTCCCATATGTATCACTGTTATGGTCCTGAGTTGGATTAGTTTGAATATCAGTGTCCTTCGAAAGTTCTCATGCATTGATTTTTCACGTATGTCAATGAATACAATTCTAGTCGACAGACACAACATTCAAAATCAACTCTATTCAATAATAGTAGCTTTCAAGGAGAAACAAGAGCAAAAGAAGGCCAGAAAGAATGAAAGAAAACACCACTAGTTAGTTGCTTTTCTGTCATTTTAGACATTCTGCAAGTGACTTTTTTTTGGGGAATATAGTGTTGTTGGAAGGAAGGAAGGAAGGAAGGAAGAATGTATTAGCACAAAATCATCATAGAGTTCAAAATATTACATTTCCACATACTACTTATATTTTTCCTTAACGGAGAGTGATAAGGATGAAACTTTGGTTATAAGTGCGTCAGTTAACTAGTTCATGATACAAACAAACTAGAAACAATTCCAATTGGAGGTGACCATGCCAGCACACTCTCTAGATACTTGGTTCCAAATAATGTCCCTGTTGTAACAGGATGTATTGTTAGTTCTAAACCATCCAAGTTGGTGGCCTCCTCTCATTTGCTTAAGCCAAAAATCTTAAAATTTCCGTGGTTGTGACGACTCCTGTACCATGAATTCTTTTTTATTCATCAGAGTTCTGAATTACATCAAGTTGATGATACAAAACAAATTTGTGTTACGTGAGTTCTACAAGCATAATAACATGATTCAGCATCTAATCAACACATGAATTGGTACCAACCAATAAAGCATGATTATCTGAACAAGACGAGTCTTATATACACATATTTCTAAAATTTGAAAGGTTTTCAGATAGGGATATTTTTGGGAGTCATACACTTGTTGCCAACAAGCACCAGTTTTGCGGTACAGAACATATGTTGATTACCGAAAGGAGTTGAAGTGGAAATTTACTCGCATCGTGACCCATGACAAAAAAGTCCTCCAATCAGATTTGCTAATCCCAAAGCTAAAATATTCACTGCAATACCATACAAACACAATCAATAGCCAATATACCCACAAACTTTTGGGACTCGAAATAAATTGGTAGTTGATAAAATAGTATAAGTTAAACAAAGTCGTAACACAAAAAATGCAGGAAGAAGAAGAATAATCCGCTACAAAGTTGTAACACACAAAATCTGCTACAACGTTGGATCATAACACAATAGAATTATAAAAAGTTGTCCACCCAGTATTGCTGCTTAGTCTATTTTCCTGCAATGCCAAAAATAATAATAATAATTAGAAAGAGTAGCAGAGGAAGTGAAAAAAAAAAAAAAAAAAAAAAAAAAAAAAACCTTAGCAGTAAGACTGGATACATAAAGCAATAAATTTTTTTTTTAAAAAAATTAATGCAAAAGTCGAGACAAAAATAGTGGGAGAAGAGGTTACTCAATCTTAGGACGAACTGGAACATGTTTTGATTTGAAGCAAGGCATCAACACTAAAAAAAGCTTAGAAAGAAAACAAAACAGAACAAAGTTGGAGAAGAAGGAGATGAGATAAGTTATAAAAAACAAATAACAAAACTAATATGAAATAAGCCGTCAAAAGAAAACAAATATTCTTTTATCGAGTTATCACTAAAAATAACATGAAAAACGAGGACTCAGTGTGTGTAAAGAGAATTCTCCCTCACCATGGCAAAAACTGCAGGAAGGACAGGAAAAATGGTTATAATTGTCACCACAAACACGCCGTTGAGGAAGAGAATAAACGCAGCGAGGATTGATTGAAGCATCACCCAACGAGCAATGGCCACGGAATCTTGGAAAGTTGCAGCAAATTTAAAACCAGATATCACAATGATAGACATTGCAGAAAGAGCAACAATAACAAATATATTTCCTTTGGCAATCAGGTGTGCAAAAGCGAGACTACAAACATAAATAAACAAAGATATGGTGCCATATTGTAGACACGCTTTAGAGATGAGTTCTTCAACCTTGTGACCACCTCTAAANAGATATGGTGCCATACTGTAGACGCGCTTTAGAGATGAGTTCTTCAACCTTGTGACCACCTCTAAATAATATCAACACAACAACAATGAAAGCCAAAGCTTGAACAAGCACCATTGGCACAAAATATTTCATTTCATCTGTAGGCCAAGATATAGCTACAAAAGGATGGAGCAGTAGTCGAAGAAAGATTACTAACCCAACATATAGAATTAATTGAAAACTAAATTGACCTAACATTAACTTGATGGTGAGTGTTCTATTCATTCTCTTGTGTTTAGGATGGGGGAAAGTTTAGAGGTGTTTTGTTTGAAGTTAAACTCTCTCTTTTGGAGTGTTCCAATTCAATGGTGTTTGCCCCCATCCAATTTCATTTCATAAGAATTGGATTGTTAAGATTTGTTAGTAGATTTTGAAATTTCAAATTTCAAAATTTTATTTGAATAAGCTAAATTGATATTTGTGTATAAATCTTGACCATTCAAAGAGAGCCGAAAGATCCTCCAATTCTTGTAAAATTTTTATTTTATTTTTGGTCAGACAATTCTTGTAAATCAATTGGTTAGTACAAATCTTAACCATCCAATTGATTTAGTAGACTTTAAATTTTGAAATTTAATTTTTTTTGAATCAGTTAAATCTATTTTTGTGTATAAATCTTGTCCATTCAAAAAGAGTCGGAAGATCCTCCAATTCTTGAAAAATTAGAGAGGCTGCTTTTCATATTTTTCATTTGCAGAAACAAGGATTAGTAGCATTACTCCAGTGGCAACTTTTTATTACCATAGAATCTTACTAAATATCTCTTTTTTCTTTTTTCCTGTTTCTGTTTTTTTTTGGGTGGGTTAAGTACTACGGTCTTTTTATTTGGTGTTATCTTGGCATAACTGTACATGCTAAGTATTAAATTTTCTAACAAAAAGTGTCGAAGTGTGCGCTCACGTGACACAAATGAATTAAAGCTCAATCACACGAGTGACACACTGCGCCACTTTTCGTTAGCAAATCTAACAGACGTTGACAAAAGAGTTCAATTGATAAAAAAATAAATAAATATTTAGAGACTTAATTGACACAAGAGTCATAGTTTAATGGTCATAAATCTAATTTAATCTAATTTATTTTAAATGTGCACTTGAGATCGAATTATAACCAAAATACTGGTAAACTCAAAATTTAATTTGTCAGTAGGATTTTGATTGCATGAGCGGTTGAACATTCTGAAGGATTTTGATATTTAGTGTTCGATGGTNGTAGGATTTTGATTGCATGAACGGTTGAACATTCTGAAGGATTTTGATATTTAGTGTTCGATGGTCTAGCCCAGCCCATAACCAACCACGACCTTAAGAGCAAAGAAAAATAGCCCAATGAACTTAGTGTGCCAAGCCCAAGCTTATAAAGAACATTTCGATTATTATATTGTAGTGCATCATTTACTGAAATAACCGCTTTCATGTGGTCAAAAAAAAAAAAANGCCTAGCCCAGCCCATAACCAACCACGGCCTTAAGAAAAAAGAAAAATAGCCCAATGAACTTAGTGTGCCAAGCCCAAGCTTATAAAGAACATTTCGATTATTATATTATAGTGCATCATTTACTGAAATAACCGCTTTCATGTGGTCAAAAAAAAAAAAAA